CCCCAAAACCCCAAAACCCCAAAACCCCAAAACCCCAAAACCCCAAAACCCCAAAACCCCAGCATGATGAGAATTAATTGAGAATATAATATAAATGGAAGAGGACCTTTTCCCAGCAGTAGTTACTGATTTTAAGGAGACATACATTCTGGAGCAATCACGAAGAGAAGTGGCTCCAGGGGAAGTCTGTGTCAGAGTCGAATCAGCTGCTATTAGCCCAAATGATCACCTCTTCACCTTAGGTTATTATGGAGATAAATATCATCATCATCTTCCCATAGGAGTCGGCTTTGAAGGATCTGGATTAATAGTTGAGACTGGAGAAGGAGTTGACAAGACCTTGATTAATAAGAAAATCGCATTTTTACAGCAGCCAAGTATGCCAGATTACAGCGGAACTTGGAGACGATACGTGTATATGAAATCTGAAGGAATTGCTACTTATCCAGATGAACTAGATTTTGATTCCATAGCTACTATATCTATAAACCCACCAACGGTGTGAGGATTCATGGATATTACTTTGAAGAATAAATGAAAAGCAATTATTCATGATGCTGCTAGCTCATCACTAGGAAGGATGTTAGTCAGAATCTGCAAAAGTTATGATATTAAATTAATAAATTTGGTAAGAAGACAAGAACAAGTAGATATACTAGAAGAAGAGGGCGCAGAAATAATTTTAGATACTTCACTTGATACATTTGAAGAAAAGATCAGAGAATTAATAGCAGAACATAAACCCACAACCTTTTTTGATGCTATTGGAGGTAGTTTCCCATCCAAAGTCCTATCTTTGATGCCAAATTTTTCAACTATGTATGTCTACGGAAACTTGTCAGGAGAGGCTATTCAATATGACGCGACAAACTTAATTTTTAAAGGGCATAATATTTCTAACTTCTTTGTATGGAACTGGATAAATACTTTGACACCAGACGAGAAAACTCATTGGTTCGGAACTATTGTGGAAGACATCAACGCAGGGGGTGAGCTGTTTGGAACCAAAATCTCAAAGAAGTTCCCGTTAGATGAATTCCAAGAAGCTATGAGTCACGCCAAGGAGCATGGATCTGAAGGAAAAGTTCTTCTCAAACCACAATTATAGATTAGAACATATAGCATATCTCCAAATTCAATATGTAAATATATATGTGGGGTTTTGGGGTTTTGGGGTTTTGGGGTTTTGGGG